TCGTTGGCTTGCTGCAGGGTGACGTTAACACTTCAGTTCCTTTGTAGCAAACTCATGTGTGCAATAATCCGTTAATTTTCTGTTGTGCGGCGGCATTAGGAAGTGGACTTCTCGTCAGCTTGTTTTTCAAACATCGACTCAATACCTGCGGACCGATCACAGTTTATTATTTATTAGGAGAGTTTGGCGGACTTGAATAATTCAGTTGACTCAATTGTGAAAAACTGGCGGCCTCGGCGGGAGTCTAATCCACACAGCATGGAAGGCTTTTGCGCAGCCAACGCTCTACCACTGAGCTACGAGGCTCACCGTAATCATCATAATCATTATGGGATCGATTTTACCCGCCCAACTTACTGCTAGAACAGCAGGCTGACTGCCCAGGCAGGATTTCCCAAGCAATCATCTAGAATCCACCAGAATGACTACCAGGCTCACTTAATTATTAGGAGGGTTTGGCAGATTTCAATAATTCGACCGACTCCCACGACGTCACGAACTTTTCAAAATTAGGTCACCTTCGTTAATTATTTATCGGCGCAAAGTATAATTTAATTAATGACACCAGAGTTTAGAATTACTCAAATGAAGGACCACAACTTCGTATTTTACCAATGACCTCAGAAGGAAGACCAAGGGATAGGTTAATCTCTGCGAGTAATATTACAACAGTTGACTGAAACGAAGCTAAATTAATTACAAGCATCTTACAATGTGTAATCTAAGAAGATTCTTCTCAAGCATATTTCAGACTACCTACGTTCATCAGTGTCTACCTACACTTCGTCTTCACACAAACACAGTTGTTTATTCCAAGCTCTGCAAATATTCCCATATTTACTTTGGAAAGTTTATTGGGCAAACGATGAGTTGTAATCAGAGGATCCTTATTACCCTGTCCAACTGAACGATCTTCATTATCCCTGCAATTGTACTGGCCTGATGAGTGGCTGAAAACATGTTTGCCGAAGGTTGTATTGAACACTTAGTAATTAGGTGTACCAGACACTTTATAACTGACTTCTGTTCTCTTTCAAAGCACCCGGAAGCCAGCCCCAATCAGCATCCAATAACCTAACAATAAGCCGAATAGAAGCCACTCTCCGGCGTTTGGAAAGAGAAGAAGATACAAACGTCCAACCCGCTATTCTGCGTTCTCTTACCAGTGGTATTAGGGAAGATTCCTTAAGACCACATCCTGCGCTGACCGGTGTTCTGACGATGCACAAGGACATACGGCCCGATAACCGGAGCCATCGCCATTGCCCCTACGCTGGGCAAAGACGGGGCACGTGGCACAACACGCACTCCGGCCGACGTTTATAGCCCGTTCCACAGCTTTACTTCTCACTACCAACTTAATCATTTGCTATTTTATTAAACTATTACGCTGTATTTTAATCCTTCCACTTACTCTTGAGGATATTCATTGGATCTTAGTATCAAAGAGTCAACTTAAAACGTAAGCCGAATACCCCACGTTAGTCCACTTGTGAACTTGACTTTATAGACGTGCCAAAATGTGGGATGGTTCGGGCTAAACCTACATTTCGGTTATGATTAACAAGTGGGTACATAAAGAAACAGTCACGCCCCCGACATCGAGCCAATCAAACTTATTAATTTTGGTAATATTGACGGAACCCGACCTTCACGTTGGTTTTGGACGCTCCATATGGTTAAAAACCGTTACAAACGAGCTGCTTCCGGCGCTAGAAACAACAAACCTGGACTGTACCGTCCTAGTAACAAATCCAAGCGAATTCCATTATGGAATTCTGCCGGAAAAGTCGCTGTACGTATTCCGGATTTAGGGCGGAATTTGATCCACTTGGTAGCCGCGGATTCGCCTAGAAAAGTCGCGATACGGCGCTATACCTACAGCTTTTACTCTCCCCATCCCGCACTGGTCGTACTTTATTTACACAGAAGCTTTATCGCTATTTCACTGGCAAAACTCGCAATACGCCGGCAGAAATGCATATGCGATATTGCATCCTATCGGTTTTTACCGATCGATGTAGAGAACCTCCCAATGACTTATCTCGTAAAAGCATTGAAATGGAGCCGAAGTCGCTGGCGAGCGACCCGCCCTACTCGTTCAGATCAGCCTGTAATCCTCAAAAGCACTTGGTCTTCATTTAAGGGCAGCCAGGTACACTTCGAGGAAATAAAACGAGACAGTCTCT